ATTACTTGCAATTCGAAATTATTTGTAATTTGAAAATTATTTCAATTTAAATTTATAGCATTATTCAATAACCATAATTGTATATTTAAATGCTTTCTACTAATATGATTTGAATTTATTGTAATCGTTGTGATTATTTGTTGTGTATCAAGGTCTCAGCATAGACATTTTAGTTATAAGTTACCAATTTCAGGTTATGCTAGCAAAAATAATGACGCGCTAACTAATAAGGATGACTACAACTATTCAATAGTTGTTTTTGAACGATCTTCCCTAAATGAGTATATTTCAGTTAGTACTCATGATGAACTGTAAAAAACATTAACAAGCATTATCGTTATAATATCATTATTATGAATAGTTTGTAACACGGGGATGCGCATATTGTATTTCCATTTTTGGATTCTTGATAATATTCCTTATTTTCACCACAATTATATAAAGACAAGTTCTGGTTGGAAATGATTTTTTTTTCTTAGTAATGACAATGAATCAGAGCGGCAATAAAAATCTTTAACGAACTATAACGATTAATAACTAATAACGAACCGTAACGAACCGTAACGAACCATAACCAACGACAATTAATAACGTAACGAACCGTAACCAGCGATAATTAATAACGAATCGTAACGAACAAAAACTAATAACAAATTGTAGCGAACAATAATTACGAATTGTAACGATCCATAACAAACCATAACGAATCATAAACAATCCATAACGATCCATAACGAATCAGAATCATAACAAGCCGTAACGAATTATAATAACATAACTATTAACAACGAATTATAAGATTCACTCGCAAAAAAGTACCAGATTATATTTTCCTTTTGAGCGATTCACAAGGTATTTCTGTTAAAATGATGACCAGTCCCTTATATCCCTCCCGAAATTATCCGTATTATATTTAGTTTATTAAGGGATGATAAGAAAACTCTCGCCACTTGTGCTTTGGTTAGCCATACTTATAATCTTCACGCTACACCTTTCTTATATCGTACCGTCGCGTTTATTTTACCTCATACATTTACGCTTTTTGCTAATGTCGTAAACGATATTAAAAGCGTTGCTCGCACATGGTTAACCACTTGGATCTTTCCGACTTCTTCACTTGTGGCCTCCAGAAACATTATTCTGATTTTCAAAATGTTGTTACTCCAGAATTATTAATTAATATTCTAAGGTCTTGCCCAAATTAAAAACTTTTCCTGCTTCAGAATCCTTAGAATTCGTAATTATCCTCGATGTTTTAAAAGTCCTAGTTCTGGAATGTAAAAAATAATGACTATCGATCTTTGTGGATTCTCTACTAAACAATTTGGTTGTGTTAGATTCGATTATTGCGATAATGAGCTGATGACGGATTTTCTTACGAATAGTAAACCTGCATTATAAAGACTTTCACTCCATGAATGTCCCGTGATTTCTGAATGCTCAATTATATCCCTTCTAGATAACGTTCCAAACTTTACACATCTCGACCTAGGTGGTTGTTCAATTAGCGATTTGACAATAGATTTTTTGGCTGAAACAAATGCTCCAATCAACTTTCTTCATTTGTTATTGGCAAAATGTAAAACATTTTTTCGTGTGCTTTTTCTTCTTTTATCTTTAAATAATCTTAGTTAGAGACACTTAATCTTTACGGTGTAAGAGATACTATTACCACCATTAATGAATGTGACCTGATAACCATATTTCGCTCACCTAGCGCAAAGAATTTTCAAATTTTAGACATCGGGTCATCGGAAACAACACCATCGGTTTTAACATTAATTAAAGAAAATTGTTCCTCATTATTAAAAAATCTTGGTATTTCAAAAGCACAAATTACCAATATTCGTGCTAATAAAGATCTTTTAACATCTTTACCAAATCTTCAGTATATCGATCTTACCTCAGTGCCATGTTTTAATGCGTTAAACACTAATAGTTTATTAATCGGCATAGAAAAGAATAAACATCCGATTCATACGATTGAAATAAATGAATCATTACTTAAAAGACTTCATGCAACTAAAGGATGGAAAATTGATGTAAATTATAGTAGAAGATGGAATTATTCTCGTGGATCTCGATTAGGTTCAATAAGAGTTGATAGGGTACATGATAGAAATACGAGCATGGCCCAGAATATATAAGCAATATTTTTCAAAATTGTAGTTTTGACGCGTGATAAATGCTGTTATCCAGATATTTAAAACTAGTTTATTTTTTTCTAACAATCTCTCTCTCACTTGGTATAAATAAATATATATATATTTATTAGAGTTGGCACTCGAAACGAAACCTACCCGAAACTAGTTTCGGAAAGCTCTAATCCGAAACTAGTTTCGGATTTTTTTTAAAAAAAAACCGAAACCCCGAAACCCCGAAACCCGAAACCCGAAACTATAATCCGAAACCTCAAACTAAAATCCGAAACTTTAAAAATATAATACAGTCGCACCTCCCTAAG